TAAAAGCACTTTCTGGCTTGAGACAAAGTCTTTGCCTGCCTCTACAAAAATATCATGGAGTTCTCCAGTCTACCCTCTCTAGGAGAGCATGCTAGACCCTAGGAGTAGCCACCAAGAAGGCCCCTTAATGTGTACCTGTAAGGATAGTGGGATGGAGACAAGAGCCTCTCCTGAAGATCTTAGGGCATGGGCTGATTCATAGAGAGATATAGAAGGCAAAGGCAAACCCTCTCTGAACAAATCGTGCCAAGAAAACCCAGGATAGGGTCACCATAAGTTGGAAATGAATTGTTGTTATGTGCCTTCAAATGAATTGAAGCCAAATGAATTAAAGCCACACAACAAGGGTCCTTCAGATAACTTCAGACCTGAGACACACAGAACTTTATAGGTGAGAAGGAGCACTCTGAATGATATCTGGAAACAAAGTGGATCTGCTGAAACAAAGGAATTATTATGTTTATCTGCCAGTATGTGTAAAATGGCCTTCTTTGTTGTGGTACAGCTGTTGTTGAATTCCCCATAAAGGGAGGTCCAGTTAAGCAAGAGTTGGAGTGCAACTCCCAACTGGCTATACTAGCAAAGGCTGATGGAAAGTGTAGCCCAATAATATCTAGAGGACCATATGTTCCCCTCCCTGGTTTATTCAGTCCTCTTCAAGGATTCACATTCAGTTTGTGCTTCAGCAGGCAATCTTTAAGGATCACTGAATACTTGGAACAATATCTGAACTGCACTTTAATTCTATGTTTGATATAAAAAGGTTTTATTGCATGCAATTTCATTTCTTCTTTTTAATGGTATCTCACCCACCACTTGAGTAGAAAGGGCAGGAAACATGTTCAATAAAAACATGACACAGATCATGATTTATACCTTCACGTGCATCAGTCTACCAGATAAAAATCTATATTATTTGTGGTTAGGAGCAACTTTGTAAGGCACTGATTTCCTCTTGGGAACCACCCCCTTTCAAGACACACTATACTCCAGGGAAGGTGGAACAGCAGGGAGTCTTCATTTCATATTCCTCATTAAGATGACACAAGTGGAAGATTAAGCTAGCCTGGCTCTCACAGTGTGTATCACCATTAGCGAAAGTCATTCAGCAAACAGGGTATTCTTTTTCATGCGCCCCCTTCCTGAGAACAAAACAAACATTAAAATGCATTAAAATGTGTATGTCAAATGTTATGCTGAATAGAATCACTTTCTAAATTTATACTGGGGAAGTATCAGGTATTCTGTTCAAAAGTGCCAGTTCAGCACTTTCCTTAAATGACAGTCAACCCTCCATATCCACAGATTCTGCATCCACAGATTTAACCAAATATGTTCAAATTCCAAAAAGCAAATCTTGATTTTGCCATTTAATATAAAATACACCATCTGAGAGCCAGTGTGGCATAGAGGTTTGAGTGTTGGACTACGACTCTGGAGATCAGGGTTCGATTCCCCATTTCAACATAAAAATACACTGGGCAACCTCGATCAAATTGGACTCTCTCAGTTGCAGAGGATGGTAAGCCAAAAAAACAAAAAAACAAAACCCTGAAGAAACGTGGCAAACAAACCCCATGATAAGTTCGTTTTAGGGTTGCCATAAGTAAGAAATGTCCAAAAGTCAAAAAAAACTGGAGGCACACAACAACAATCACACCATCTTACTACACCATTACATATAATGGGACTTGAACATCCACAGGTTTTAGTGTCCACAGGAGGTTCTGGAACCAAACCCAAGGGCCTAGTGTAATGTGTTATAATGCAGTGGTCCCTCCACATTTGCTGGGGTTAGGGGGAAAGGACCCCTGTGAATGTGGAAAAACCACAAATAAAAAAAATACTATTCTTTTTACCTAAGGGAACATCTCTCTAGGAATCTCCAGGTCCTCCAGTGCATCTCTATGGTCAACATCTGCCAGATGTTGATCTCCGAATCATGTTGAAGGACCTACAAGTGCCCAGAGATGTGTTTTCTCTAGAAACTTCTAGGTTCTCCAGCAAAACTCTATGGTCAACTTCTGGCAGAGTTGCACTGGAGGAGCTAGAGATTCCTACAGAGATCATATTAATCAAAACTGCAAATAATCAAATCCACAAAAGTCAAAGCCACAAACGTGGAGGGCCAACTGTAGTTTTATGTAAAAATGATTTCAAATTCTAAGCAATAAATAAGTTCAGATAACTAGAACAGCGACAAAGCTAGGAAAAGCCCAAGTACGGATCTTCTCTACGACATTAAATCTGACACATCTCACAATATGGGCAAGTTTAAACCAGTAACTCAAAGCAGCCAGCCTACCTTGGTTCTAGAAATTCTACATAGTGTGCCTAGAGCTTCAGGGCAATTCCTCCGAGCTTGTCCAGCACAATCTCCATCACTCCAGCCTCAAATGATATCTTTATACAGCACCTGCTGCACTGTTGCCAGGACACCTCAGATCAAACATTCAGCAAACAGCACCTGGGGAGCAACCTTGCTAGACTACTTTGATTCATCTTAGTATCATCGTCTACCATCTGATTTCTCTGTCGTTGTGAAAGCTGGACAGTGAAGAAAGCTAACAGGAAGAAAACCAACATATTTGAAATGTGGAGCTGGAGGAAAGTTCTACCTTGGATTGCTAAAAAAACAAACGAATGAATCCGAGGGCAAATCAAGCCTGAACTCCCCCTGGAAGCCAGAATGACTAAACTGAGACTTTTACTGGGCCAACCAAAATCCACAAAATACATAATGCAAGCTTTCAAAGCTCTACTGGATTCTTCATCAGGCAAAGGTGTTAAAAATCAAACAGGAGAAAGAAAGAAAAATGGATGATGTTGGAGCCATAGGCCTACATTTTGTCTGTACCATCTTAACTGATAACAACTATAACAACGTCTTGAGAAACTATAGACCCATGACTCCAACATTGTCATTTTCTTTTCTTTCTCCTGTTTGCCAGATGAAGAAGCCAGGGGATCTTCAAAAACTTCCATCATGAATTATGTGCATTTTGTTTGGCCTAATAAAGTATCTCTGTTTTGTGGACTTTGGATATTATTGTACTTTTGCTGTATGGCTAACATGGCTACCCTTGAATATGTAAAGCGAGACTGTAATACTTTGGACATATCACGAGACATCATGACTCACTGAAAAAGAATGATTAACGCTTCATAAAGTAAAAAGCAATAGAAAGAGAGATTGTGTTACAAGTGGATTGATTTGATCAAGGAAATCACAGCTGCCCTGAGTTTACAAGACCTGAGCAGTGGATGACTGGAGATACTGGAGGGCTCTCATTCATAAGGTTGCCATAAGTTGAAGTTGACTTGAAGGCAAATAACAACAGCAAATATAAAAATCTTTGCTGAAACAATTCTTCAGAATGTTCCACAAGCAGATTAATCTCTTCAGGGGGAAAGGGAGATAGTTTTCTTTTAAAACAAGCATTGACTTTTGATAATTGGATATGACTGCAAAGGGATGCATTGGCTAGTGTCTGCCACACCACTGGTGGCTGTCAACTCAAAAGGTTTTCTTGAATTTATTCTCTTCATATTTGTATAGAGGCTGGGCAATCTTATGCCTGGCAGTGACACCTGAGACTGTTGATGCAGTATTGTTAAAATATTTCAAACTGCAAATGGCATCCCAAGCTTTTCATTTACTACCATGCCACTTTAAGCACCCTTGATATTCAAAGACACAGGCATGTCAACCTGTTTCAGCATAGGAAGATATTAAGGAATTCTGTCATACCTTTTGATGCTAACTGGAAAATATAAATTTCAAGCATAAGCTTTTATGGACTTGAGCTGCATCTGATGAAATGGACTAGACCCCATGAAAGCCTATGCCAGGGGTCGGCAACCTACGGCCCACGGGCCACACCTGGCCTGTGGACCCCCGCTGACCGGCCCCCGCCACCGCGGGCACTCCCACAGCCATTTTGTTTCCCAAAATGGCTGTCGCGACTCGTTTGCGCATGTGCAGTACTCCTGCGCATGCGAGAATGAGCCACGACATGGCCAAAATGGCGCCACGGAGGAGCCCCGTGACGGCGCTGCGCCTCTCTCGGAGGCCCAGCGCTGCCGAGGGAAGCCTCCTGGGGGGCTCCACCGCTGTGTGCATGAGCGCGCGACGCGGGACCCCCCCGTCAATTTGTTTTTCAAAATAGCGGTCGGCGCATGCGCGCACGCGGGGAGGGAAGTGCGCACACGCACCGGCCCCCAGCGCCATTTCCCCCCCAGCCGACCCCTGGCTTATGCCATGAAAGCTTATATTGTTAGGCCTCAAAGATGCTACAAGATTCCTTTTACCTTTTTATACTTGATCTTGCCTGGTTTCAGAGGCTAAGAAAAGCTGCATAGTACTTGAACACAAAACTAAAGGTCTCCAGGTAGGAAAGGAATCTTTCCTAAAACCCTAGAAAGTCACTGCTGTCAGTCAAAGTTGATATGACTGTATCAGATGGACCAAGAGTCTGGCTTACCAAGAGGCAGCTTCCTACGTTCTTGTGTACACCTCAGCTGTAGCAACAAGAAAAAGCACACAGATTATCCTAAAAGGAAGGGATTAGAAGGGAAAATCCCAGGAACCTTGGTACACAGTCTCATCTCAATGGATACTGTGACCTTGGAAGTCTTCCTCTTCCTTCTTGCTTTTTAAATCACAATCAGAAACTTTCTTGTTAACAAAGCTTTCGTTTAATATAATCTTGTAACTTTGGCTATATGCATTTGTCCATTTGCCTTATATTTATTGTATTGGTTTTCGTATTTCCGGAGTTACAATGGTGACACTATGTAAATAAATGGTAATCTTAAATCATCATCATCAGTACCACGAGGAAGAGGAGTTGAAGTTGGACTGCAATTCTCATCATCCCTCCTCACCACTGGCTATGCTGGTCCCAACAATATCTGGGGGGCTACAAACTGTCCACCCAAGTTTTAAAGGCAATGCTTTGAGGTGTGTGCTCCCTGAGGAGAGCCATGTAAACATGTTGTCGTTATTGTGTACCCTCAAGTCCTTTCTATCTTACAGCATCTTAAGGCAACTCTATCCCAGAGTTTCCTTGGCAAGATTTATTCAGAGGAGTGTCTCCATTCCCTTCCTCTAAGACTGAGAGATGACCACTCTGTAGGTTTCCATGACTGAGCAGAGATCTAAACTCTGGTCTCCCAGAATCCTAGTTCAATGTTCAAGGAAGTGCACCATACTGGTTCTCACACTATTTAGGAATATTTTGGCCAGGATCAAGATGAAAGCTTTTGAGAAGTAAAGGATCCTTGGGAACAGAGACACACACCAGTAAAGGTTTCAGACTTGCTAAAAAGAAGCATTTCAACCACACTGAAATCTTCCAGATTGACGGATACACTTCCATTACCCGCCTGATACTCCCTTCTCTTATCTCCACCTCTGTTCCTTTTCTTTCTACTTGGCACCCTGGCTCCCCGGTACTCACTTCCCTCATACCAAAGCCAGAGAAGAAGGTGTTCATCAAGAGATTTACAGCAACAATAGAAGGAAGGGAAGAGGCAAAGGCTAACAAGCAGGGAGGTAGAACAAAAGCACAACAGGACAGTTTTGAGGATGGAGGCGTAGGATTTTGAGTGCTGTGGCTCTATTCCTACACACACACACACACACACTTCAAGGAGCTGACTGTGAAAAGAAGTTAATTGGAAAAGCAAGTGTCAGAGGAGGCCTTTCAACTGACCCGGCCCACAGAAGGTAAAAGGCAGGCAGTGGCCCAGAATGACCAAAGGTCATAGCCCCAGGACAAGGGCTATTGTCTTGCTCACATTCCTGTAGCTTGAAGCTCCATTCCCAGGGTAGCTAAGCTGACAGTTTTGTAATGCCTGCAGTACACAAGGAAACCCTATTATGCTGCAAGAGCACTGGTTTCAAAACAATATCGGTTCCAGGGAACGAGAGTCCTCGTGAAGCCTTAAGAGAGAAATAGGGCACACCATCCCCATGCGCACAAAACAACAATCGAGTGCAAGAGATAGTTAGTGATGTTCCACATGAAGCCGAGTATCTGCCCCAGGATTATTTGAAAGGGACTTTGCAGCGGCCATTTTGGTTTCCACAACAGGCAGGTCAAGAGGGGAGTTGTTGTCTGGGAAGCCTAAAAAAACACTCCTAAACAACCATATATGACACCCCTAATAGAATATGGCCTAAAACACTCAATATGTATAGATGAGGGGTCTACAGCAAGATGGGTCAAATGGTTTGACCTCAAGAGCTATGTCTTAAAATTTTGATTTGTGCACCAGCCTCAGCTCAGGTGTATCTCCATGCCAAATGCAAACCATCAGCTCCCACAAAACACAGAGCCCAAGGAATTGCAGTTTTGAGAGGGTGCTCAGGATTCTGTTGGAGATCCCTAAACCAAAAACTGAAAAGCAGTCCCCAAGGTCCCTAAAGGTACAGAAAGGAGCCAGGACTCTTCAGTATA